GTGTAACCTATACCTCAAAGTAATCAACTGCCTGTAGACTTTTTAGAAAAGAGGATATAGAGTTTGAAGCTCAACTTTATATGTACTTTCAAACAAAAGTACTAATTTTGTATTTTATATATTTTCTAAAATGTCTGTAAACTTTGCAGTCAGTAAACTTGTAGATCTTAAAGCATGTATTTGAATAATCTTGGAACCTTTACCTGTACTTCTGTTGTTCAAAAAAAATCTTTATGTGTTTGCCCTTTGTGGTATAAATTATTGATAGCTTTACTGAGATATAATTTACATACCAAGCAAGTCACCCATTTAGAGTGTACAATTCAACAGCTTTTAGCTTATTTACAGGGTTCTGCAGCCATCCTCCCTTTAATATTCAGATATTTTCATCCCAATCTCATCTCCTTACAAACCCCTTCAGCCCTAGGTAATCACTAATCTACTTTACATCTCTATAAATTTTTGTGTGGTGAGAATTTCATAGAAATGGAACCATTCGATATGTGTTCCTTTGTGACTGGCTTCCTTCACTTAACCTAATGTTTTCAAGGTCATCCATATTATAGCCCTGTTTCATTCCATTTTATTGCCAAATAATATTCCCTTGCCTTTGTCTATTCTATGTAAGCACTTCCGTTTATTTTTGTAATGTTGATTGCATTACTTTATTGGTTTGGGCAGCATGCATGTCTCCCATCTATGTACACTTTAGTTGTCCCAGGGACTATTTTTGTAGAATTTTACTCAATTTTTAAAGACACCCAGTTCAGTTCAGTTGACACATAGTGAGTGTTGAAATATACAAGGTTCTTTGTTAGAAAATACTGGAGATAACAAAGGTGAGCAGGCACAGCCTCTGTCATCCAGGAGTTTATAATCTATTTACATCAAATCGTGAAAGCAAATCACAACCATGACTCACTTTGATACCTTAGCTTTTAATTAATCTTTTCACTTACATTATCTGGATATAGATGGATAGATAATTTTCAAGTTTGCTTCATACATTTTTATGTTATGCTATTCCTTAAGCCAGCCAAAAACAGGAAATGTGAGTTCTACTTCTTTTCTAGTGTAATAATACAAGGAAAATTACAGCAACTACAATTTACTGTGGTGTATTTTGTTTATTTGACATGCAAAACTATGTGAGGTAGTTATTGTTATTTTCACTTATTGATGAGGAAACTGAGGCAACTTGCAGGTAAGGGTCAGAGCTAGGACATGAACCCAGAGCTATTTTGTTTTAAAGCTCACATAGGTACTTGATCACTGGGCCATAGTGGTCTGCAAATATGTGGAGGATATTCTTAGCCAGTAGATGATACTGTCCATCTGTCACTCTGGCTGGCAGCTTGGCATCTTAGTCTGACCTGAACCAGTCTTTGGGATGGAAAGATGAACTCAGAGAGACCTCAAGCCTTCATCAGTGCAGTTTGTGGCTGTGTTCATTATGATAGTCTACTGACAATGGTAGAAAACGTAACTTCCCAAAGAGCTCCTTCTGTTCGATACAAACAAATCATAAGATGTCATCTCCAGCAGCTAGCACTCTGGCATCAAATATGGAAAATGCACTTAGAGATAACAAATAGGAATCACCTGACCAACATGTCAGAGGGCATTTGAGAACCTGGGCTCCTAAAACTGTCCAACCACCTTCCTAAGACTTACTTGAAAATTCTGTGCTGTCATGTTCAACAATAAGGCAGGTTACATCTGCAAATCTACCTATCACAATGAACACATTAAATAAATATTAAATAATAATTATTGTTTCTTTCACATTCACTGACAGGATAAAAATACTGGCAAAGAGCCTTTAAGGTCTAATTACTTTGTAGGCACTGAAACCAAGCTGATAGTTGAAAATTTAATTGTGGAGCAGTCAGAGACAGAGCAGTAGGAAGTTGTTTTGAGCAGCGGTGTCACTCTGAACTCTGTGTAAGACATAGAGCAATAAACACCTACACGAACTACCAGAAGGACTGCGCAAGGGGAAGGTTAGCTACACAGCTACCGCACATGGGCTCCCACTCAATTACGGGTTACCTTGGCATGTGACGTGTATTGAATGAGTGACCGACTGAATCAAGTGACTAATAAGCATAAACGCTGCAAGGGATATTTAGAACAATTTGCAAATGATCTCTACAACACAAATGAAGGCTCAAAACATTAATAGCAATAATGACAAGGTTATTGATATCTGTATGAATATTAATGTGCTATATTAATGTAATTAATATGAAATAGTATTGATATTAATATACTTAATGAAATTTTATAATAATTTATAGTACTAATAGCTGTGTGGACAATTATTAATGTAAGTAAAATATCAACATTACTAACATTAAGTTGGAAATATAGCTCAGTGGCACAAATGCCTGCCTGGCAAGCGCAAGGTCCTGAGTTCAGTTCTTGGTACCAAAAAAAAAAAAAAAAATTACTAACATTTCCCAAGAACTATGCCTTATATTGAGTGAGATACATAGAGATATAGACATCTCATTTAATCTTTATAATAAATTGTGAGGTAAACACCATTACCCTTGTTTCCATAAATGAGGGCATAGAAACATAGGGAGGTTAAGTAACCTACTCAATTTTCTACCCTTATTAGAAATAAAAACCTTGAGATTTTCCAGGAGCAGGCAGGTTTTCTAGGCCATTGATGTAATCTCTTAAGAGATCACTGAGTTTCCAGCACATTAAAGGAGTATCCAAAGATGATCTAGTCCATAGTTCTGAAATTGCTTTAAGGAACTATGGAAATTCCTTCAGAAGTTCTACCATTTATGAAGTATTTGTGCCAACCAGGGAAAAGTTCAGATGCCTGGAGAAATATTTGTTGTTTGTACCTGCTTTATATGTTGGGTTTTCTGGTAAGATTTTACTTTTAAATAAAAGGGAGAAATTGTTTGACTGGTGTAGGTCCAAGGTGACAAATGTTTTCCATAAAGATGATAAATATTTGAGACCTTGTGGGCTACACTGTCTGTTACAACTTAATGGTACTGATGTGGTACAAAAGGAGGTATGGAGAATAGGTATGAATGAATGTGGCTTTATTCCAATAAAACTTTATTTATAAACCTAGGAAATGAACAGATTTAACCTACAGGCCATAATTTAACTAAATTCTGGTCTAAGTCACTACCCTGATCAAATGACATTTGGGCCTAAACTTTCAAAATAGATAGTTATCTTGCTTGCTCATGAAGACAAAACATATCATCTAAGAACCTACATTTATTAGTACCCCTCATCAGAAAGCCCATGCCATCGTTTAGGGAAAAAGGAAACAAATGCATGTTTTGAATGTAAACTTTGAACCAGGTACTCTGCTACACCTGAATTAATCCCTATTGCAACGGCACTAAGTAGATGGTGTGATCCCCTTTAACAAAGAAGAAAACTGAGGATTAAAAAGAGGAAGTAGTACCTAGAGTAAGGGAGTAAAGCCAGAGTCTGACCACATGCTTTCATACCATACTGACATGACCAACGCCACACTGCTTCTCCTGCCATGTACTATGGTGGAAGGTCATGAATGTCACCCTTAGTCTATTTTTCTCTAGGAAAAAGTTTCACTACATAGCCTCCTTTTTCTCCTCCCAGATACTTCATCATCTCTGTTAAATTGGAGGTGTTAAGTCCAAGTACTACCATTTCTACCTGAGATTCCTAAGTCATAACACAAAAGGCAGTAACCTTGCAATTTCAATAAACTGTTCTCCCACTTACAATTCCTGGGCATTTCTTGTCTGTCTTAGCAGGCTGTACTAGAGGGTTGTGTTTGCTGGTGATCCTCCATGGCCCATATGACTTTTATAAATATCATTTTTATCTCTATACATTGTTTTCTCTCTTGCTTTTTGTTTTGTTTTGTTTTTTGTTTTGTTTTGTTTAGACAGGGTCTTGCTGTGCAGTTCAGGCTGGGCTTGAACTCACTATGTAGCCCAGGCTGGGCTCAGACTTGCAGCAATTCTCTTGCGTCAGCCTCCTGAGTATTGGGATTACAGGTGTGTGCTACCACACCCAGCTGTACCTCTTGTTTTTGTCTTTCTTGAATTCATATCATGTTAGAAAATTGTAGAATTCTAAGTCTTCAGTAACCTCCTTTTCTTCAAATATTTAATGGCACCCCTAGCCTGGTTAAATGCCACTGATGGACAGAGCAATCCGATTTCTTTCTTCTGCATATAATAGGCTAAAAACTCCAGGCTGAGACAATGATGATCAGGATACTAAGTCTCTTCCAGAACATACTTACTGCTTTCTTTCAATTTCATGTAAATGCTTTGAACTTGATGGACATCTTACATCTATTTTCAATTCACTTTAGACTGGTTTTCTTTTAAGAGCCAATGAGCTCCATGGCACTGGCAACAGGAAATTGGTGCCATCCCAGGAGTCAGTGACAACAGTGCCTCTAGTGGCTCTCAATTCCAGAATAATCTATGTCCCAGAGCCACCACAGTCCACCTCTACAACTGAGCAGCAATCCAGCTGTGTGTGACTTAGAAGACAAATCCATCATATGTGAAAAACTCAGCCATCAATAAGCAGCTCTGCAGGCCTTGCAGTTGAGGACCAACCAGAGAACCAGCTCTCCATCAAAATTCAAACAGTCTTTAGCTGTGATCAGCCACTACCATGACCTCTGGAGACTGGTAGTTTTCCAATAAAGCCAATAGCCCCCTCCCTCAGGGTAAGGTCATCAGCAGGAGGCAACCATTGTCTTTTAGCCCAGCAATTTGACAACAGTGTTAGCTTACACTCTATTAGCCAGCCGCTACACCCTGACCCCTGACCCTGACATTGACCTCCCACGGCCCTCTGCTGAGGTAGACTCTGATCTTTTGAGCTGGCCCACCCTGCTGGTTAGCACAAGAGAAGGCCCATCAGGATTGTGCAGGAGTCTATGGTCACCCTTGCTCCCAACAAGATGCTTACGGCTCTAAGTACAGAAACAAGCTGGAGGTGAAGCCATGATGGCAAAGGTGAAAGTTCAGGAGCATATCCATCAGCAGCCTGTCACAAAGGACGATGTAAGAAACATGGAAGCTTTCAGCACAGGGATAGCCATTGTCTCTAGACAGTTCTGCAACTTAATGGAAAAGACATATCAAAATATGGCTTACAAAATACAAAATAATGGACTGAGATGTACATTATACGAGGGTGTTAGATTGCAATGTACTTTACAGTGGGGGAATTAGATTGAAGTGTTATGCCAGGGTAGTTAGGTTGAAATATGGATTATCCTAGGAATGTTAGCTTGAGATGTGCTTTATAACACAGTTGTTAAATTAAGATGTGCTCTGCAGTACAGGCATTAGCCTGAGATGTGCATTATAGCAAAGTTGTTAGGGGAAGACGTGGATTCCACTTGGGAAGGGGGGCGTGGATAAGAGAGAGGAAAAACACCTTGGGTTGAGTATTATTCAGGGTTATGGGACGTCTCCTACATTAGATGGATTTCAGGGTTTTAAGTGTAGGGAGTAGGAAAGAGCATGGAGTCTAATGTTTTTTCCCTTCTTTCTCTCCAGCCAAACAATCTGCCACTTTCCCCACTTTTCCTGTTAGGGCCTTAAAGGCCTCCCCCCATCAATAAAAACATTAGCTCACTAAACAGCCTGATGGCTTTTCCTTCCCTAGCTTAACCCTTCGGGAGCTGGGGTTTCCTTTGGATTTGTAAAGATATTGATTCCAGATAATGTTTGCCTTTCTAACTCTCTCTTCCTTAGACTTGATGGATAGGTTCAGGGCTCCATCTCGGCAGCCAACTCACCGCAGCTACCCAGGGAAAGGGGATGGAGAGCAAGCAAGCGTTCAGTAGTTAACACTGCTTGAATCCTTTCCCTGGGATGGACAGGCAGAAATGTCGTGGCTAGGGAGACGTGTGGAGGCTGCAGTCACTTGAAATCCACCCTGGATTTCACTTTCTGTTTTCTTCATTCTCCTCTTGATTCCTCTACCAGTATTTCTTCAGTTCATCTTAGAGCAGTGTATAATTTCTAATCAATAACAGATGCCATTTTGGAGCTGGCCGCCCTGAGTTGCATCCTTAAAAACTCCTTTTCCAGTTGAGGAATGTGCTTTTCTACAGCACTAGTAACACAGGTGAGTACAGGTGGCTATGTCAGCTTGCTGGTGATTCCGGCCAACATGGGAAGGACTTTAAAAAATTCTCACCCTAGATAGAAATCTCACCCAAGGAAAAAGTAAAAGGGGACTGGGCAGATCATCTCACCATTAACTACTTGTCCTACAAACGTTGGCCAAACATCTCCCTAACAGTGTTTTTGTCCTTTCTTCTCTTCCTTAGCTTGGGAGATACAATTTACAGCCTCCAGAAATCTACCCTTGTGCGATTGGATGGTGTCCAGCTTTGCTGGAATCGGAGAGGTGAGTTCCAGCTCTCTTGTTTCTCAATGAAAGAAATTGTTACACCGGGTGAGTTAACACAGCCAAAAAGACTAACCTGCTAACCTGCCAGACAAGGGCACCAAACAGTTCGAAGGAAATTGCAGTGTTACTAGACACCTTCCCATTATGCCTGAGGGGCCCAGGAAGTGCCAGCGGATGTTTCTGCTCTTGTTGGCCATATTTCTCTAGTTAGAAAGGTGGGTTCGCTGTGGGACCTAAGCCTTTACGTTTTGTGGCTGAGCTTTCTGTGGGAAAAAGCAAGTGGATGTGACAGGAAGATGCCATCCAGGTTAAAAAACAAACAAACAAAAAGCAGCTCTACGGATCCTCTTCTGTCTTCACCAGTGTTACCGCTGTTCCCACTCCTCACCCTTGAGCATTTCCTGCTGTATATTCTCTTCTCTTTCTGGTGTCCATTTCTGCCTCATTTTCTGACATCACATTTTCCTTAAAAATAGGCTATGTGAGCTATTTCTAATCTCCGTCAAGGGATCTGTCTGACCAGACTCCCACGGGATGTGGGAATGAACTTAAAATCAATCCTGGAGAAGAAAGAAAGAAAAAAAGAAAAAGGTTGGCTTGTTCCCAGACTCAGTTTTTAAACAAATCTTCTGCTGGGTTAAAGGAGCACTTTGGGACCCCTCCCTAGGAGAGGAATTACACCGTGGTTCTCTCTAAACGTCACCCCAAACCTCACTCCAAATAGCATCATGGTGCAATCGTGGTAACCTAATGGTTCCAAGCAAATTTGGAGTCCGTACCAAGTTTTTGAGGCAGACCTTTCCCAACCTCAATTTCTCCCTTCATCAAGTGGAAATACCAATAGTACCTGCCCTACAGGCTTTTATGAGTATCAAACTGGCTAATGCATATACTAGGCTTAGTCTGGAGCTAGCCATGGAGTACTTACTCAACAGTCACCATTAACTTTAGCATTTTATCCCCACACCAAAGACGAGCAGGAGAAATGTGTCAATTCACCAGGAGCTCCTGTGGCATTTACTCACCACACACCGCAGTACCCCTCGTGTACAACGAACACGTCTGGTTTTAGAAACCTACCGTACCTTTCAGCCTTGCTCCTTGTCCTTGTTTATAAGGATTTGTCTCTGTACAGGAGGAAGGGTGGCCCTGCCAATGAGGGAAGAGACAGATTACAAGGGCCTCACTGACAGAATATAATCCCCTCTCTTTACTCACTGGGAACTAGCCAGATTGTATTTCAAAGGTAACAGTTCATCTCCACCGTGAGTCCTGGTGTACTGTCCATAAATAGGACCTAATGTGATCCGACAGGCCCGATTTCTCTAGATATATATTAAAACAACATGGCCAGTGCTGTGGCTCAAAGGTCCTGACCTTTAACAAGGACTTATGACGTAAGGCAACCTGCCCAGGAGGACAAGCAGGCAGAGGCCAGAGGGACAAGGTCATCGGCTAATGAAGTGGTCAGCATCGAGTTTCTGTCACTCCTCTGGTTAAGAGGAAACCAAGAGGGAAGTTTTTTTTTTAAATGGGAACATTTAAGAAACAAAGGGAAGGACTGCATGGGAGCCAGTGCTCCAGACACAAATTGATATTGTCTGAGCCCTCGCTGTGGCCTTGTTCAGTGTTACAAGCCGAACACCGGCTGGCTGAAAGGGCATTTGCAAGAAGCTAGCTCAGTATAAATTTTAAGTTAAAAACAAAAATAAACAGGCACTCAACCACTCTCCTCTTTGGTTCAAATCTGCTCCAGACTCCCACCAAGACAGAGGCCAAGAGCACAGGCGTGGAAGTGGGCTTCAGACCGGTTTTCTCTGTGCATGGGCTAACTTCCTCCTGAACCACAGCATCACCATCTAGAAAAATGGAATAATAACAGTATCTGCCTTCAAGAGAGGCTGGTAGGATTAAATGAGAAAATTTATTTGAATGAATTAGCATAGTGCTTGGCACAAAATGATTGTGCAAATGTCACCGATTATTATTGTTATTCCACATACTCTAACAATCTTAGAAAGTGCGAGGGTCTTTAAGATGGATAATAAATTGTGTATGGTAGAGTAAGAACACAGTTTGCATTTATGTGAGGTCTCACAGTGGCCATCTCATTGGTGGGGTAATTTGAACTTTTGACCCATCAATAGACATTCAATCAATGAAGAAACATCGAAAACTACTGTGTTAGGTCCTGCACATGGCATTGTGTTGAACCAGAATCATTTTTAACTTTGTTCTTCACAGCTTGGCTAGGGAGATAGAAACATTGAGACACAGAACATAAGTAATAGAATGTTATAAGAATATGTTATAACTGAAGCAATCAAGTCTTCTTGAAAAGGTCAGAAAGAAGTCAGAGAGATGAAAACTTTCATATCTGTTCTGCCACTACATCCTGCAAATGGTGTGTTGGGACGTGGAAAGCTGATGTTTCTCTCCCCGTGCACTTTCTGCATTTTATGTATGAAAGGACAGAGGCCCATCAAGCTAGCCCATGCCTTTGTTTGCAGAAGTTGACAACAGAGCTGAGACTGTCTCTCTGTCTTCCCACTTCCCCAGGGCACCTTCTCAGCAGCAGTATCAGGAGGAATCCAGACCACTCCTGGCCTTTCCGTTTTGAAAACTTTCCTCTTAGTGAGCACTTTCTACAGACATTGATTAGAACCCAACTCTTGAATATCCCAAAGCACCAAAATGCAGAAGGTTTTATATTCATTTCTTGAGTTATTAAAAGGGCTCTTTTTAACCCTTTTCTGTCTTCCTTCTACAAATGAAGGACTCTGGGGGAGTGGAAGAAGCCCTGAGGAGAGATCAGGGCCAGCACACAGGTCTCAGCAGTGTGGTGTCTCTCTTGGGTTCCACAGCCTCTAATGTCTCAGGTGCCCTAATTAGCAAACTTTGTTCCATGTTCCCTGCCCGTCTCTGCCTTATGAAAATGATATGAGGATGAATTGAGAGCAGTGATCCCAGGAAAAGCGTACCAGTGGAAACAATGATCAAATTGCACTGCCGCTGCCTAGGAAATCAAAGCTTGGAGCATCACCGGGGCAGCCCATTTCCTATTCCCACCATGACCCCAACAAACTTCTTTCCAGGATTCAGTGCTTGGCACCTTGTGGGGCTGGGAGGCTCTAGGAAACCAGCATGACAATTTAAGTGGCATTGACCAAGCCTGTTCTTTTTGTTTTCAAATATGAACCTAGCTTTAAGTGCTTTTTTTTTTCTGATTGTAAAGATCACGTGCAATGTCTTGAAGAGTGTAAACAGTTTATAAAGACACAAAGAAAATTAAAATCACCCAAAATTCTACCTCCCAGAAGGAAATACTGTGAACCTGGACTTCATCCTATCAGATACCTTTCATTTATACCTATAGAAGTGTTTTATTTGATATCAGCAATGTACATGTTATCCAGAGCTTGCACTACCGGTGAATTATAGATTTCCACGTTCTTTCTCAATGACTGTGTTGCATTCCAGTGTTGGATGTACCATCGTTTATTTAACTCCCTAATAGTAGGCAGTTATAGTACAAATAATATTCCCAGTGAACGTCTCGGCAAGAGGTACATCTGTTCAGTTGTCTCCTTCAAATAAATTCCTGTTAGAATTGCTAAAGAAACTGTCCCCTTCAACTAATGAGGTATTAAAAGAATAAAAGGGCAATTACCAGTCAAGTTGAAGTGTCCCAACAAGGCTAGAGACCTAGGACAGTTACAGGGACCCTTATCCATTCACCTATGGAGAGTGATGGGTGGGAGCAGGAGGGGGTTTATATACTCAGATTAACCCCCTTGCATTGATGTACTAGAACTAGATGTTAGTTTTCTTTCACCTCCCCACCCCCTCCACTTATTATCCTACTCTATAAAGCCCTGGCATACCGCATGAGCCTCTTTGCAGCTGGAGAAGGCACACCTCATCCCCTGACCCGCTGCCCATCAGCAGGTGGATTCTGACTTCTCATGAATGAGTTTTCTTCCTGGTTGCTTTCCTCAGTATGGGGCACACAAAGGTTGATGAATTCCTTCGGGTAAATGTAGGCACTGGGGCCAACCAAGCAGCGAGTTGAATTGGGTGATTACATTGCAATGTTTTAATTTGTCTTTGGACAAATTCTCATAAGCTTTCACGAGAAAATCTCCCATTAGACGTAGTCATTTAATTTAAGAACAGTTGGGCGAGGACGATGAGCTAAGATGACAGATGGAGGAATGCAGATATACATCTTAGAGGGACTTGAGGGTACTCTGAGGATTTTGCATCCAGAGGAACACAGTGTCAGCTGCCACTGCTTATGTCCATGGACATGAGAGATTATCAAGAAATCATGAAAATAAAAGGATATGCTCAGGTGACAAATACATTTCATTCATCTTTCCTGTCTGTAAAAATCATAGAAAGGTCAACTAAAGAACTGGATACTTCCATATACCCCAAATCCAGTAAACACAAAATTTGAGCAGCCTTATAGGAAGGCAAAACAAAGCCAAAAAATAATAACAAGACTGCTGCTAGAAGTTTCCTTTGGTCATATTGCCACAAAGATAACTTTTTAAATTCCATGCTTACTCTGGTTTCCTTCAAACAGATGTTCTGGACATCCTAATTTGGCGTTTGTATAATTCAACATCTATTATTGTTTTAGGACCTCAGTTATTATTTTAATTATAATTTAGGGCTGCCTAATATACCCGAAGGTCACTGGGCACCTAAAAGAAATAAATAAAAACAACTTGCCATTTTTAAAAGGAGAGTGTTTATTTGGAAGTCCCAAGAGCCACTCAACTAAGACATCATAAAACCTTCAAATAAACTAAAACGGAAACAAAATAAAATGCCTGTTTTTAATTCCTTAGAAGGCAAGCAGGAGAAAGTTACAGTGAAGTGAACGCTGGCATGAGAACCCTGGGGATGATTCATTGCTGAGCTCGGGAACCACACTGTATATCTTAATGTCCTCACTCCATACTGCAACTTGCATGGCCCTTTTTCTG